CGACAAAAGCTTATATGAACCAAGCCCGTCAAAAACCTCATTCCATAACATACTCGAGGTGGTATTGTCATCAATCACCAAAAAGGAGGAGATTGAAAGCATCTAGGCCCCTAAGTGGATTTTGGTGATTAATGTCAATACAAGATTACTATGACTAACGTGTGTTTTGCAGAGACAATTAAGTTAGGTCATGGTAATAGAGATCGATTGGGCAATTGAGGTTGTCATGCCCCCACGATGGAAATCGTTTCGGTTTTCAAAGGATGGACGACAAGGTTAAGGATAACTAGTTCTAAGTGTCAATTGAAGTTGGAGAGACACTTAGAGTAGTTTAGGACTTTGTTTTTCCTTTGGTCGTACTATGAAGGGGGGTATGAATGGGTAGCTTGACCTAGTTGAGTCTAGTGAGTTAGGTGTGGTGCACACTTGTTAAAACTAGCTCTAGGTAGCTCCTATGAATGCCTAAGATCCTTTGGAGCAAACTTCATTCTCATATGATTGAGAGTTGGAAGTGAATGGAGGGTCAAATACTAACCGGACGCTGGCTCCGGTGCGACGACCGGACGCCGCCTGTGGTCCCATTCATTCATTTGATCGAGGATAATATATCTTGAGTGACCGGATGGCTGGGGGCCAGCGTCCGGTCGACTCCGAGAAGGGTCGAGACTTGAGAAAGTGTGGCCGGGACGTCCGTCCGGTTGGCAGACCGGACCTCGAGTATCAAAGCGTCCGGTCGATTCTGATAAGTATCCAAGAGCGACCGGACGCGTCCGTAAGTCTTGACCGGACCTCGTCGTCCGGTCATCACTTGAAATCATTATGTTGGTTGAACTGACCGAAAGGCGTCCGGTCAATATGATCGGAGCGTCCGGTCATCCCGCAGAAGCTCATAACGGTTCGTTTTTCAGGCTGCCTTATAAATAGAAGCTCCAATCGAGTGTGGAGTTACTTTTGCTCATTCCAACAGCTAAGAAACACGTTTGTGAGTGCCAAGAAGAGTAAGGTCCTAGTGAGGTGTTTGTGATTTGAGAATCCAAGAGAGAAACCTCATTAGTGAATCAAGAGTAGACAAGTGTGCATCCATCTTCTCATTAGGCTTCGGCGTGGTCAAGTGAGAGTTCGTGCTTGTTACTCTTGGTGATCGCCATCACCTAGACGGCTTGGTGGTGATTGGGAGCTTGATGATCACCCGGCAGAGCTTGTGGGTGACCCAACTCAAGTTGTGAGCGATTTTGGGTGATTCGCCGCGATGGAGTGTCGAAGAATCAACCCGTAGAGAGCACTTGATCCTTGCGCGGATCAAGGGGGAGCTACACCCTTGCGTGGGTGCTCTAACGAGGACTAGTGGAGAGTGGCGACTCTCCGATACCTCGGCAAAACATCGCCGCGTTCCTCTCTCCATTTACTTTGAGCATTTACTTAAAGTATTTACTTTGAGCAATTTAATACTCGTCTTAACATTCATAGAATTGCTATGCTAGAGTAAGTTTGGAACATAGGTTGCAAGTCTTTTGTGCGTTGATTTGATAGAAACACTTTGTCTAGGCACAAGGGGTTAATTGGGCTATCCGTAGGATTTGATTATTGCAAGAAAATTTAGAATTAGCCCAATTCACCCCTCCTCTTGAGCATCTTGATCCTTTCAACAGTAACTTTTGATATTTTCGGGAGGCGCCGAAATTTTATATTATTTTTTAAACATCTTAACATCTTCAAATGAAAAAACTCAAAACTACAAAGTTGTAGATCTCATTGAGAGCTACAACTTTGGTATAAAAAGTATTTTCATTTAACTCCATACAAATAATATTTTGAAATTTGCTCTAATTTCAAAAAATAGAAAACCCTTCAATACAATATTCGGATGAAGATAATTTTATATGTAAATTTAGAGCATCTTCGATGAGATCTACAAATGAAAAAAGTTTTGACTTTTTCATTTGAGGATCTCATTAAGATGCTATAAAAATAATATAAAAATTTCAGCACTATAATAATCGCCTTTTTGAAATTTACCGCATTAGAGCACTAATATATTATTTGTATGGAGTTAAATGAAAATACTTTTTATACCAAAGTTGTAGCTCTCAATTAGATCTACAACTTTGTAGTTTTGAGTTTTTTCATTTGAGGACGTTAAGATGCTTAAAAAATAATATAAAATTTCGGCGCCTCCCGAAAATATCAAAAGTTAGTTTCAAGAGTTGGAGGACCAAAGTTATCCGGTTTTGAAGTTCGAGGTTGAAATCCAGACTTTGACGAGAGTTGGAGAGTATAAATTGAACTTTATCCTTAAATTAATACTGAAATTGCCTAAATTTCTAACCAGATATATTCCTTAGCGAACATGTTCAATCTTCACTTGCCGCCTTATCCTGCACTGTCCACTGTATCATCTGGTGAAGTATCCAACTGTCGATCTTGACCATTGCTACGGTACTGAGATATACTGGATAATCCGCTGGAATGCTCCTGTGCACAGTATCATCCAATGATACTGATCTTCAAGGTCTTCAACTGTGCAAACACTACGATGTTCACTAGATGATCCGACGGGTGATTCTTCTCTTCACCGTATCGTGGGGTGAGCTCTGTCTTCTCAGGCCAGATTACTGGACTCCATTGTATGATCTGTGGGCCTGATCAACTGATCTAGTGAATACAAAGGAATCTTCAAGAAATCTTCCCAGTTTCGATTCGGATCTTGATCAAACTTTAGCCTTGCATCCCTATGACCTAATATAACATTTCTAACACATCTTTGGCACACATGTTAGTCCTAAAACTTGTGTTGTCATCTCAATTATCAAAACTAAAAGATATAATCATGGGCACATAATCCTTACACCCATGTGCTAGTTGGTGGCCAGGACGTCATGTGCATTGATGCGCTGTGGCGAAAGATGGTGACTGTGTCCGTGTTGCTCAGCCTCACCTCCATCTTAGGTACCACAGTGGCACTAGGCGAGGTCACGGAGGGGCAGCGCAACACTTTGCCTTTGACAGAGAGGAGAGAAATTGGTAGACAAGATTGGTGGGAGAGCATTGTGAACAATTCGTATTATGCGGCTCTTATTAGTCAAAATTAGCTAAGTTTGGCAAACTAATAGGTTAATAACTAGTTAGAGGCTAGGCTAAAAGTTTATCCACATTAGTTCTCGTCTAAGATGAAGTAAGAATGATTTGTAACTGTTAGTCCCTCCTGTCTAGTTTATAATGCATAGTCTGGTCTTCTAAATTCTACCTTCATTCATGTACTCCATATTATATTGCCTATGATTATTGAATAGTATATTTGGTTACAGATCTAATAGTATCCATTTTGTATTATAATAGTTAAAATTGTTGATTAAAGATTATAAAATTTGACTTTTAATGTACGTGAAATGTTTTATAAATTGGAGCATCCACAATAGAAACGGATACGAATACGAATACGCATACACATACTACAAGTTTTAAGAGAGACAAATTCGGATAATTATGATATTGAGACATCCATTTCCATCCCCTGCTATGTATGCGGAGCTGCGTCACCTCGACCTGTCAGGCGGTCACGTCTCGCTCCCATCGTTAGGTCTCGCGCGATCTGACGCTCTCTTTTCCCCCAAGCGGCGCCACCAGCACACATGGCGCGGCACTAGTCCGGTCCACTCGAACTCTACTTGACAAAAGCTGAGCAGTGGAGGTGCGTTACACACACTGACCGGTAGGAGTACACCACTAGGCACTAGGTGAAAGCCATCAGTTAGCTACGGGCGTATCCCATGGCGACACGCGCGCATGCAGCTGTTGGAATAGCTGCGCCGTAAGGCATCCGTCAGCTCCTCACGCGACGGGGTGCACAGTGTTGTATTGTACACGACGAGACGGCGACGGGGGCCGATCTATGTATTGGCAACTTCTACTTTTCCTTTATTTATAGGCCGGCCCCTGTCTGGCTAGAGGTCTACAGCCTGCAACGTCTGCCTCAACTTTCTTCACGTTTCCTTGTTTCTCGGCACACGTGCATTTGAAAGAAAGCACCACTTTGTTCATATTTCCCTCCTTTTGTTTCTTGACACATAGCATCTGAAAGAAAGCACCGCTCCGTAGGGGGAAATCCTTCCTGGAATGATTCCAACCTGGATTGCTTGTCAAATTTATAAAAGATTTGAGCAGCTGGAACAATTCCTGGTGCATTCCTGAACAACCGAACACGGTTCAGAGGCGAAGGGGTCGCTCAGGACACAGTAGCATGCAAAGTGAAGTTTTGTAGCACCAAACATATCCCAGCTTCCGGATGGTTACCTCTGTCCTCATCGGTGTTTGATTGCATGTAGTATTTGGTTGCATGTATAAAGGCCTCATCAGACTTGTCAATGAACGTCCATGCACTTGTGCAATGAGCAAGATGGGAGCAATATAACATTATAATGTCACAACACAAATGGACAACGATAGCGAATAAGGTAACTCTGCAGAACAGTGCCGATCTTTCTTGCTCTTACCAAACAAAGAACAAAACCCAATTACAATGTCCTGTTGACAAAAAAAAAACATTTACCGCAGCCCATCCATGAAGCCACAAGACGACCGAAACCATATACAATCTACGCCGAACCAGTACTAAACTTTGACAACTCGGAGAATGCAGCCCCACCACCTGAGGTGGGATTCTCCAACAAATGCTCTTACAAGCCCCCCCCCCCCAAAAAAAAAAAAAAAAATCTGATGGCCCTAACAGCAAGACGAGCAACAATCCTCGATAGAAACTTTCTTGCACAACCACGGCGGCAACAACAGGCCACGAGGAACATGGCCGAGGTGACAGATTATCCAAGATGCTTTCTCACAAGGATAGAATTTTGCGAGCCCAAAATTGTCCTACCATTAAAGGTTGGCTAAGGCTGCAAAACTCTTTTACCAGCGACCTGCAAATCACAGGAAATTGACCAACCACCACCAATGCTATACCGGCAAAATGGCAAAACAAAGGCAACCAGAAATCATTTATGAAGTCACTGTGCATTTGCCTTCTCAGATTTCTCTCTCTCAATTTCAGTTTTTCTTTCCTCGGCATGCTGTGCTATGCCACTAGCAAGCGCTTGGTAACGGAAATCCAAGGTCTGCATAAGGTTCTGGAACCTGGCAGGATCAGATGCCCGCAAACCTGTGACCAACAGCCAGCCAACTCATGAGGAACTCAGCCAGATTTTTTTTTTCAAGTGAGAACAAACATCTATTAGCAAAGAACACAGTTTACCTTGGACAGTTTCTACAAAGAAAATGAACGGGTCCACCTCATCTATTGGTGAGTGTAGCTCCTCATCGTCGCTGAAATCATCATCTGAGTCATCATCCTCATCGGCTGGTTGGAAGCCTCTAGCCTGGATCATTATAAAAATGAACGATCAAATTATCGAGCACAAGGGTCAGAAAAAATGCAGCCTCAAGAAAGAATTATATCTTTTTTCAGAAGTAACTAATGTTATCGAATAGCAAATAAGTGGTATTGTGTTACTATAATAGCTCAGGCTAGGCTAGGATTGAAAAACAGACCTCTGCAGCTAATTTCTGCAGCTGAAGACTGCTTACTTCATCCCCGTCTTCATCATCAAGACCCATCTCCTTATCGGAGTCAACTTCGTCATCATCTTCTTCATCAGCATCAAAACCATCCATATCATCAGCACCCTCTTCATTTTGCTTCTTAGCTTCTGTGTATTCACCAGGGGAAAAAACACAAGCACAACTAAAAAATTAGATACTGAAGGTAAAGATCACAGAGACACAATGCGGAGAAACACGTCCAGTAACAAATAACAATAAGCATAATCTAATCAAACTGGAAACAACATATAATACGCAAGCGCAAGTTCATCGACATAATCTAATAATGTGTAATGTGCATGGGTGGGTGGATTGGGGCGGGGGGCTCAGCTGCAAAGTTTAAAAAATTAAGTGCAGTACACACACACTCACACACACTGCACCTGCAACTTGGTCCTTGTAAGCAACAAGCAGCTCAAGTGTTGCTTTGAAGATCCGATCTAAAGCTTCTGCTGGAATCTTATCAGCTGGAAGCGCAATAAGAGAGGTCAGGCCCAAGCAGCAAACTTTCTTATCATGCTCTCTGCAAACAAAGCAATATACAACAATCCTGGTTCATCATTGGTAAACATGAAGAAACATAACCATGCAAAACAAACAATTGTACCTCTTGAAATTAACCCGTGCTCCACTCTTTTTAACTTGTTGTAGCATAGCAAACCAATGGTTAAAAATGTCAGCTGCAACCCCAAGCTTATTTAAAGTTTCAAGGGTCAGCGCAGGATTGTAGTAGAGCGCATTAGCGATCTGCAAGTACCACAGGAGTTCTTAGGCACAAGCAATATAGCAGAGATAAACATGAATCAGTACACAGTGATTTTGTCCTTGTATTGCTAGTTTTAGCCCCCATTCAGTCTCAGTTTTTGCCACTGAGCAAGACCCTGATCCATCCAGGCAGTCACAAAAAGGGAAAGTGGTTTCCATCAAGTGATGAAACAGGAGCAAACCCATATATCTGACCTCAATGATATTTTTGCTGAGACATCTTTGGAGTGTAATTATCCAGTACCAAATCATATCAAGTCACATTGACAACAATGAGATGTGAGCGCAAGCTCGTGGTGTTTTGGGTTCAATCCTGCCTCGCTTCAACCTTTTTTAATTCTTTTCAGTTATCATAAAAGTAAAATGGAAAGGCCAAGATATTTCAAAAATCAAATGTGGTGTGTGAGAACCAGATCCAAGAACACCACGATCCTTCATAGGTCAAGGATCTTACCACTCAGACACCAAGTTAGCTGTGCAACATAATAGCTTTATGCGCCACATTTATCTATAGTTAAACATTAGATATCCAACGTAACTAAACAAATAAGGACAGTAATCAAATACCTAAGTACAAGCATAGACTTTTCCGTACCAAATTTTAAATCCTTGGGAAGTACTATGGGAAAACAGTATCACTATATTCAGTATCGCTTAAAGTATTCAATTAACCCTATTTGTTCTTGCACTATACATGCCAACATCAGGGTACAGATAGATAATACTCATACATGACTAGATTCCAAAAGGTTGAATCCAGCAGTAGGTGAATCTACTAATAATTAAACTTGATCAGGAAAATTTGGAAACCATGAGATGTAAGAAGACAGTAACATAGCAGCCTCTCACATTATTTGCCCTCTATCTACAGTGAAGTTGGTAAAGCATCCCATACCCAGGCTCAAGCCCTCATGCTCGCAAGTCGTGAGTATCCCTAAGGCCATGTTTGGTTAATCCCCTCCACAATCCAAACAAGCCCTAAAGGGTTCGGTACTGCCCTCTATTAAGATAAAGCAAAAAGCCTGTGGTCAAGTTCCTTTTTCCTACCATGGCGTTGTTAGATAATGGAATACTATTAATAAGAATTGATATTTCATTCAGTATGCCATCCAAGCATTTTTTTTTCGATGCAGACAGCTTGGCAAAACTAGGGGTACCCCCCATCCAGCAGCATGAATCTATCCAATACTTGCTAGTTTCTTGTGTGTTCACAAGACAAGTATGGTTTGACATGTTTCAGCAGGTCAGGCTAACGGCTCCTTAGCCTAGAATAAGGATTCTCTCTAGCCTTTCCATGTCATCCTTCTCTAATCAGTTTGTGGAGCTCAGGTAGTAGAGCCTGTTTGGTTTACGCCCTGGGAAAGCTGCCTGGCCCAGGCAGCAATCCCAGGCGTCCAAGGAGGGATAATCCAGTATCAATTGGTGTTCAGTAGTTCAGTGTGTCCAGTAAACAGCTAGTAGGCTATATGTAAATATCCTTCTGTATGAGTTAATATTGAATTTCACTAGATAAATCCCATCCCCTTACTAGTCACAGTACTCAATGAGGACCAATAGTGGATAAAACTAGCAAAAACTCTCCAAAAGATTAGTACTTCATCAGAAAAAACACCTATGGCATGCTGATGTTACATCTTACAACTCAGACATGAAGACACTCCACATGGTTTTTGTGCTCAATAAAACCGATCGGTGCTGAGATAGGAAATAAAATAGTAAAATAAAATAGGAGTGTTCATGTAGCATCTTACCACTTGTACAAGGAGGCATTTCAAGTATGGTTTCTTTGCTCGACGTAACCGCTCAATTGTAATCCTGAGGTAGTGCTCAACCCACTGATCCACGTTGCCTTTGCAATTTTGAAAAACCACTTCAATGAGCTTGGGAGCAGGTTCAATATCAGAATCTTCCATGTTTTCGTCCATCATAATCTACAAGCATTGGTGCTTCTCAGCAAAAGTAGTAGCACTAGTATTGTCCAGAACATCAAAAGTTAATGGATCACTCTAAGAAAAACTTACAGATTGTAGTGCATTCCACAGGCTTTGCTGGTAATCTGGATCTTTGCATGCAAGAAAGTGATCAGTTCCCCGGGAAATGTAGTTGTCCAATGGAACAAGAATATCTGTAGTAAGGTAACCAAAAATAGCTAACGTCAAACCGTGAAAAGTCGACTAACATGAAGAGTACTTCTATTTTAAGTCTGCACTCACGGACAACAAATGCAGAAAGTACACTACTTCTCACAATGGGAAACATGTTCACATAGAATTAGTCACTTAGTTCATCAGATAATCAGACCTCGTGCTTATTTAAAAAAATATTTTCAAGAAATGATTTTTAAAAAAAATACCAAACATACAATACAACACACCAAACCAAATTAAAATGTACATGGGATGAAAACCAAAACTGAATGAACACACAAAAAAAGTAAAAAGAGCACAACATAGTGCCAGGCCACAGAAGACTTAGTTTTAGACAATAGCTTGTAGCTACAGTGTTGAAGATTAGCTTAGTGACACCAAGAGAACCTATGTTCTGTGCAAATCTTAATAGGATAGACTTTACTACTTTCATCTGCTAACAGCAGTAACTCATGAATGAGCAAATGCAAGCTGTATTCCATGTAACTACAACTATATCATGACGTTCATGTATAGCATTACAAAAATGCCCAAAGGACAAAGCGTGCAACTACCCGATAACCATTTAATATACATCTGGGAGTGTTTAAAAAACATCAAGGAGAAGACTAGTCTATACCAGTCCTACACTAATAGGATAGCAGCCCATCTGGTTCAATACAAATGGACCAAATGAACTGTACCGCTGTATCGATGTGCTAAGCATATGGAAAGCCTGGAATATTTCTCAAAAATGACAAAGTATAAGAAGGAATGGCACACAACTATAGTTGACACAACAATGATGCAAAAGCATGCAGCATGCACATACAAATTATTATGACAAAAACCTTTTAGTGGGGCAATAAAACAAAATACATAGTGCCACATCATAAAGTTAGACGTACTCTCAAAGAAATCTATAGCCCAGTCATTAAGCGCTTCCATCATCAGTGGCCACAAGCTCCACATGTCCAGTGAAATTGTAGGTGAGAAAAATGTCATATAGGAAACAATTTCAAGAACTTCTTCATAAACATCTGTGAGAGAATTGGAGAGATTAAGTGCATGAACAAAATAGCAATACATAATCACTAGAGCAAAATGGCAGTTCTATATCACATCACTTTATGAAACTGTTCGTTATCCTGTCTACCTCCAATTATTTCTGCTTAACCATAGTAGGAACTTGAAACTTAGTGAAGCTTCTAAAAGCTCAAAGAAATTCTGAAACATCTGTACAAGTTTCAATCACATCCTAAAACATAGCTACTCGTGTGCTCAACTATTGTGTAGCGAGACATACCACATAACATTAAAAAAAATTAATTTCAGCCACTCAACTATTTGCAATAACATTGTTTAAGCAGAAATAACATTGTAGGTATTAAAATGCAATAACATTTTTTGCATCAAACCAAAAGATAATTCTATTTGTATCAGAAAGTCTGACCTGCAAACATTTCGCACACATGTTTGGTGTTTGCTAGGATAAGGATGGCTAAAAAGTAATAATATTTTTAAAAAACTATCCTTGAACAGTTTAATACCTTGGCCATCAGATGTCAACATCTTGCGCATTATAGGTAACAATGTAGGTTCTATTTGCATAAAAAGATGTGGGAGGCTGCTAATGGACTCAAGGATTGTGCTGATTGCTCGTAAGCAACCAACAGCTGCCAAAGCACCAGAATCATCAGCTTCATCATCAGTTTCTGAACTAGCCATACATCTCCAGAAGGCAGCAGCCTATCATTTTAAAGCAGCATGTTTTATAAGATGGAAAACATTTACAGAAGAATTTATAGTATAACATTTATGGAAAAGAACCTTGGAAAGAACATACCAAATTCTGGCACAAACCTAGCGCATAAGGTGCCATCTCTTCACCAAATTTGTCAACAATGGTTTCTAAGGTGAACACAAGATCCTCATTCTCAACTTCATTCATCAGCTTAAAAAATTCTGTTTAACAGACATGATGAGCAAGAAGATTAATTTATAATCAAATTACTTGACTAAACAGATATGTTAATCCAGAAGATTAATTTATCATCAATTTACTAGACCAAGGTAACAATTTTCATACCATCAAGGAGCTGAGGAAGTATAGGTCGAATCTCATTTAAATCTGCAGAGATAAAATTATAATCATTATCTGAACTGGTGTCCACAATTTAGAACTAGAGATACCAGATAATTACCTTTGCAGGCTTCAACAAAAGAACGAAGTGCAAAGACTGAATCAACCCTCACAGGAAGATCTGGATCGCGCATTCCCGAAACTATACAATGCATAGCCAGACGAAAATTGTTCGGGTCTGAAAAGTTGATATGGGCATACTGCCCAGCAACCCATGCTGCCTATAAGATTCAATATATCACATCATTACTGTAAAATAGAATTAATGAGATAGAAATTAATAACGACAAGACCTAGATCATATTTGAAGGTCCCAGGAAGGAAACACCAACCTAGCACCTACTACTGATATAAAAATACATCAAATGCTTTCATTTCATTAATGTACACCGGGCAATTCTGTTCATTTGATCAATAGTACTCAATGGTTTTTTATTGAATAACGACACTTACAACTAATACGTCCACTGAAAAAGGGAGTAATGGTAAGTTTGTGTCAATGAAATATGGGTGTTTAATATTTGGTACTCCCTACAATCATTTTTATGGTATGCATATATTTCACAATTCAAACTTCAGAATTTTTTACCCAACAACTGACTAGCATTTTTTTTGTTATACAATTATTGGTACCATGGGACTCACATTTGGAAGAGGTAACCAGTTTTTTTTTTTTTAAAAATGATTTTATTGTCACGAGCAGCATGCTATATAAGATAAATCAAATGCGAAAGTATAGTACCAAATCAAACTGCACTTTGAAATGGAGTACTCAGTATGGAAAATTGTAGATTTAGTGTACTTCATGGTAATCTAACTTAATCTTCTATATCATTATTGACCATTGAAGAGCTATTATATTTTACCAAAATCGTCAAAGAATATGAATAAAGCATTAACAATACTTATTCACAGTAAGTACATAAGCAGTAAAAAATAAGTAGGCAAAACAAATTTCCAGAGCATTCCACCTTTGCTCGCAAGTGTCCAACACGACTGTTGAATTCAGGAAAGACATGCTGGACCAGCATTCTCTCAAGCTCCGATTTATATGGATCGGTTTGCTTCAGTTTATCGCAGAGTGTCCCAATAGCAAGAAGAGCGCCATCTTTTTGGCGATATGGCTTAAGATCAGCAGATGCCTCATCATACCTGTTAAGTATATCATCAATTAGAAACAATGTTGGAAATAGTGGGCTATGAAATTTAGCGTGGCTTGCTCAACCCGCTACGGCAGATATAGCAGCCGCTAAGCCATTTAGCGTTTTGGGAAATAAATGCAATTTATAGGCAAGAACAGCTATTATTATTCACATAACACGAGATAAAGTAGGTAGAATAACATATGTACTGGTCAGCAGCCCAATACATAAGCAAACGCCAACCAGACAATCAAATGCTAGTTGCTTACATTCTTAACTTAACAGGAATCTGTTTAGGGCCTTTAAATAAAGAGCCCACTAGGCGGTTTAGCGCCTCTAAATAAATAGCCCACAAGGCGATTTAGCACAGCTATTGCGTGATATAGCTCTGGTAGCAGCCATCCGGTAGCAGCAATTTCACAGAAAAAAAAGGCGTACAGAGGAGGGGCTCCAGCCGCTATAGCAGCGCTACAACGCCGCTATAGCCTACTATTTTCAACATTGACTAGGAAGTCCATGGAAGTTAATGGTTACAAGTTCATAGGCCATACCTCCTAAATATGTCCACAATGAAATGGATGAACTTTTGGAGATTGTTTTTCCCTCGCTTTCTAACCAATTCACTCACGAAGTCCATAGCAGCTGTTCGGGGACTGTACAAATCTTCAATAATATCTGTAAACATGAAATACACCAATGGGTAATCTGGTTACACTGCTGAACTGAGACAAAAACAAGGACCACATGATTCTTATCAGTAATAACCCATTCTAATTGAGATAGATATACAGAGATCAGTAAATTCACCATAGCCCTTGCGAACATATTCATGAGGATCTTCATCCCATAACTTTTGGTCATTGTCATTGAAGCACATAAGAGGAAAAATTATCTCAAAAAGAAGTATATCAATCTGAGGCTGCATCATCTGATACATACTGTTCTTTGTAACACTGCAAGATGCAAACAAAAAAAATACTGATAAGCATTTCTACAATAGCCAAGTTGGATGACTCGTAAACAAGGGATATCATAAATTGAGTTTGGCAAAAAAACAAATTGTTGATTAGCATATTTTAAGTGTGCACCAGAATTTTTCAAAATATTCACCAAGTCTTTTATAGCTTTTGGATTTGGATAGTATCCCATACAGTAAGCTTTGAAGACAAGACCATGCACGATTAGTTGGGCGAAACAAAACATTCTCTAGTCAAAAGCTACATGTTATGTCCAAACGCCATCCAAGTCAACTATTATCATGATGTGCCCTACTTCAGTAAGGACAAAAAAATACAAACTAAACAAATACAGTAATGGAACATATGTTCCTGGGATTTACTACCAGAAGAGCCAGGATCAACCAGCAGCCATGCATATTGCACAGAAAGGCACAGTAAGTGTAGCCAATACCAAAACAGCTTGTACCTAGTCAACTTATGGGGTTATGGCTCCGGTAGTTGTAGGGCTTTATAAGATTTTATAATTATGTAGTTGTTAGCATTTGCTACTCAGATAACCAGATAGACTATGTTTGGCAAGCCAACCTAATATGGACTGACACCATTCTATGAGTTCAAGCAATAACAAAGCACTTTTCCTCCTTCATTTTCGCTCATTGTGCCACCAGCACCTCTCATCCTTGGCCACAGTGGCACCTGGATACGTTCTTGGCGACATTGGCGCCTGGATAACAAGGTCCAGAAGCAACACAAAGAAAGTCTGTCGCAGCAACTATGCCACACAATATTTGAGAGTGGCTGAAATCATTAGCTAAATTAATGAGAATTTAGTTTGATACAAGACAAAGAAAATAAAGGATGATGCAGATGATGTGAGATGCTAGCATCACAAAAGACCACTTTACAAGCACAAAATGCCTTATCATTACCATCAAGACACACCTGTTAGTCAGATACTGAAGAACAAGATTGACAACCCTATCCGGCAAGTAGTCACCACTACGAATTGCATTCAGCAGCTGCATGTGACATGCCAATATTTTCCCTGCATAAGTCTTCTGAAACATTTGAGCAAAAGCTTTACTCTCTGGCTTCTGAAGCTTCAGATCACCAAATCTGTACACAATTAATAAAAGGTCAACACACAGAGTGACTACTGATTACCCAAGATAAAGTTTGTTACATGCCAATCCAAGACTGACCTGGTGTAGAGACGGTTCAGGATATGGATAGTCCATTTCTTAACTTTCCACCAGGCCCAAGATTTCCTAATTTCAGGATCTATCGGTTGGCCTTCCACAGGAACTGGCCTTTCCAACAAGTTTATAAACAGAACCATCCATGCATTGAAGACATTTGGATCAAATAGTTGCTTCGGAATCTCCAACTGGAGAAGCAAAGAACAAATGAGGAAAACAATTAGAGATGTCTGGAAAAATTATGCAAAACAATAACCATAATAAAAAGTTTGATTATAGAGTACAGAACATACATAAATTGAAGACCAAAATATTTTACATATCAACTTGATTAAATCAGCAACTTCAATCGGCGGATTGACAATCTGAACCAATTTGCTAAAAATGCTTAGTAGACGAGGAAATGTCTCCTCTACAATGCGATATAATGGTATCCTCTCATCCTCAGACTTGAACCTTCAAAATAAAAAGGAGACAAGAGAGAATGTTACAACCAATATAGCATACAAAGAAAAGAAGTGGTGATTTCATCCTGGATGGCAAGACAACACAGAACACTAGTAACAAGCTTGGATTTGGGTCACCAGTTGCTTGCTGTTACTCTATAACTCTTAGAGAAAGGTAAAGGGCTCTGTTTCGAAGGGCAGTGCTAAGATGCCTAGGCACTGACTGGAGTAGCAACACCTCACCTAGCACCTAGGCATTTTGTATAAGCCATTTTCCCGCCTAGAGTGGTTTCTGCCTTTCTGGCTTGATCTATGTATGAAAGTAGGACAAATTGGACAAAGCACCTAGGCATTTTGTATAAGCCATTTTCCCGCCTAGAGTGGTTTCTGCCTTTCTGGCTTGATCTATGTATGAAAGTAGGACAAATTGGACAATAGTAAGATTAACTCTGATCTTGGAACTCATGGTTGCATAACAATGACAAAATCTCAGATTTAATACGATAAACTTCCTCTATTTGAAATAGTTACTCCCTTCGTTCCAAATTATAAGACGTTTTGGCTTTTCTAGATACTTTTGATATGCACTTAGATATACACTATGTCTAGATACATAGTAAAAAGAAATGTATCTAGAAAAGCCAAAACGTCTTATAATTTGGAACGGAGGGAGTAAGTCTCTCCAACTGGAAAGAAGTATAACCCCCCAGAAATTCCTAGGCAATGTCTAGGGAGTTCTTAGACACTAGTCAGGCCTCAGAGTCTGAGTGCATGGCGACTAGTACCTAACACTTTTTGAAACATTGGTAAAGAGTGATATAACTACATTACAGGTCTGCGACCAAATCTCAACTTTGAACCATGGTCTCATCCAGTGGTAAGGCTACAGAATCACTGTAGAAACTTGGTTGCCTTGAACAGGGCAAAACCAGGTCAAAACTAAAGGTTTCTGGTCTGAACAGTTGATATCTAAAGGGTTTGACCCACAAAATATACCCACAATGGTAAAATTCCACAGGAAGTACGCATTCCCAGACCTGAACATGGAACCTATAGACGCAAAAATCAACATTGAATATGCACAACGCTCATCAAGTGCAGATTTGTTTTTTATGGGTTTATGTGGAAAAATATGCATACATATACAAATAAAACAGGAGTAATCTACTACAGCTTATTGCTATTCTTGAGCTATCAAACATGATTATAACTCTAGAATGCATAGAGACTCAAATTCATGTGCTCAGATATGAATCTCTTATCATGTTATTACTTTCTATGGTATCAAGACCTCAAGGAGGACCAGTATTGTAACTTGCAATAAAGAAACCCATTTTGAGTCTTGGCCTCTTGGAAGTTAGGAAATGTGCAGTACAAGTTTGAAGTTTAAACAGAATAACCATACAAGAAGAAGGCTGATGATGCAAAGCAGGTCAAATTGATGGTTTAGTAAACATTCTGATGAGACTGGAGACAAAACAAAATGCATCAACGAGTAACATAACAATGGGCAAAATAAGAATGAAGTCTAGAAAACAAACAAAAACAGAACAGAAATAGAAAGCGATACAGATACTTACTCATATTTTCTGGTAAGAACCCTTAGGACATATAAAGCACCAAAAATTTGATTCTGTAAGTCTAAGTTGTGTGAAACCCAATGAAGGAGACTTGGCCACTGTTCAGGATAATCAGAATGAATTATTGTTTTGATACTTTCGCCAAGCTGGGCTCTACAAATAACCAGAAAAATGTTAAAGGAATGCTTTCACAAATGACAACACAGAATCATAACATTTCCACCACGAGATGGCAGACTCTCAACTTCATCAAAAGAGAGATGTTAAGGATGGTATTACAATATTATAGTGTCTAAAAACATTTGAATTGATATTTCTACTAAATAATTAACCCATAAAGCCTAAAGAGAATGGACCGAACAGGTATGAACCAAATGATATGTCAAGATTTTTGTACCTGCTGCTTCATTTGCAATCAAATAGACAAACAAAGAATACTCAAAACAGCAATTCTCCATCTCATGAAGCACAATCATTATCACGTAAGGGAGGAAATGAAATAAAAAGTTGCTGTGCTAATTATGAACCAAGTTGGCACTACACATTTTCTAGCCATTCCACCAGTTAATTAGGGGGAAATTTAGGGTACAACTAAGTATTTATATTTACCTTAACAAAGGGGGCACTTGAACAATAAAACCAAGTATGTTTTCACGAACCATGACCTTGTCACTTTCTAAAACTTTCGGGGACTCATCTACAGAAACAAAAAATAAACAAATTAATTCGAGTTAGCAGAGCATAAGCAAATTCAATGGTATACTAATAACCTTTGCATACCTGGATCATTAGGAGACCAGTTCTTCGCAATAAAATTCTTGAAATGAATGCTTGCAACCTGTCGTACAGCCATATCACAACTTCCATCAACAATGATCTGTAACAATCTCACCAAATGCTGTGGTGTGTACTGGAACTGCAGAAATTGGAGAAATATCAACTTAGTTATGTGCTCAAAAGACAAGAAAAAACAGCAAGTAATAGCAAGAACTAGAGATTGAAGCACTCATTGTGACTGTGACGTACTATCCACAATAAACAAGGAACACATACTGACATACCCCTAGAATACAACATACATTGCTCATATCAATTTTATACCCATTTTTCACTAAAAAAATGAATGACACATGATGCAGTAAAAGCAAAAAAAAAGGCAAATTGAGAAGAGAGTTCTCTCCGGCATGAACTCACACACAAAAAAGGGCATTTGATCGTTTATTGGTATCCTAATGCAATAGTCCATGGAAAAACACAGTAGATCGCATTTCCATCTTCAAATGAACTCACAGACCAAAAAAAAACTTTAATCCTCTCTCATTATACTCAGATTCGTACCACTGGCTGTCCTACTTTTAACTCATTAGTGTTGTACCCCTCCACAATAAATGTAAGCTAACAGTTCCAGCATCCATGTCAATTTTGGAACAAGAGAGGCAATGAAATCACAAGGGATTATGAAATGGAGACATGTAACATGACAAATGGGAGGTCTTGCACAGGGGCAGGGGCCACTAACCAGGCATATCAGTTCATAATGCAGCAGCTTTGATTTAGGTATTACAACAGTTTTGTATTTTGTTTCGTTATCCTTGGACCTTTGTGTCTATCTATTTGGCTCTGATTCAACAATATAAGGATACCATTGATATCATTCCCTATGTAGTCTAATCTTCAAGTTTCACCTTCAGGAATGAAAACTGTCCCTCCTCAAAGAGTACCATTTACCCTGAAATGATTCAAGTATCATGAGTTCATGACACAGCCAACACCTAGCATTCCACCAATGAGTTATAACTCTGCTACAAGTCAGCTTTGAGGCTAGACAGGCCATCACAGTGGACATGAGGGCATTATCATGACACGTCAAGTGGTGTTGTACCCACCAAATCGATATTTGTTTGTGCAATTAGGAAATCTACATCCTCCATATTGATCAATGATTGAATGCAGGCGCTATTTGAAGTGAAAACCGCAGAAAGGGTACTAGATCAGTAGGCACCGTTGCTCATATCAACACACAGAAGATCAAGAGGAAAGCTTTCCCTTGATACCTCGCTACAGCTCAGAGCTCACTACATGGCCAGCATCCACACAGCCTCCCCAGTTGCCCACTGCCATTGCTATCTAACACAAGCTCAGTCAATATTGAAATGAAATCATGTCAACATCATGGCCTCTTGTTGTTGTATAGGATTACAAATTGTACTTCAAACAGCCAGGGATATGTTGTCAAACAAGGGTGTCCAGAAGTTCTCATGTACAGAGGCCCAAACAAGCTAAAACTAATTCACAGCATATGGTAACCATGATAATTGTGTGCCACCGAATGTTAGTGAAATTCTCAAATTGCCACTAGAAAAGTTATGGTCCCTCCTAAACCATCACCTCATCTTGTTTATTGCCTTGTCACGGATGTCATAATGTGAGTTGACGGCAGTACACAGATGGGACAAAAAACTGAATCCTCGATTCCTTGTGTGTCACCTACTAACAACTCCATTATGATGGAGGTGGCACGTAAGGGTTAAAGAAGCTGAATTGGAGGAATAGGGGTGGCCTTCACTTTTTAATGCCAAATCAAAACATTTGATCACACAGAGAAAATTAACTCTAAGAAGATTGTGTTCATCCTTCTAAATTACCATTCAAAAGCCATTCATATTTCTAAATTACCATGAACTGATCATGGCACTGTAGAAAAGGCATCAACTTTACTTAAAACGCTCATCAAAAAATCAAGGACTGAGCACACAACACTCAGTGCACCATCTTGACCAATATATGTTACACAAGTATCATGACTGGAAGATTTTAAGCCAATCCAATCAGCTGCCCAAAAAAAAGAATATGACTTGTGGTAAATGTACTATTAAATGGAAAATTGGAACAACCACCAAAAGTTAGCACCCTAACCCCAGCTTTAATCCTTCGCAGCTGCCAAACAGAATTTGTAATCACGAAAACAGTAAAACATAATGGGATACTTTGGAACATTAGTATGGATTGCCAAAATAACACCTTGATACGATTGTGATCGACTATGTAGCACATTTGAATATGTTGACCCGCTAACATGTCTGCTCGAACAGTTAATCGAGCCACCAACTTTTTGGCATCGCTCACACGGAGTAACTGATATTACTGTAGGAGACCCATGACAACTTAATGAACCTAACAACTCAAACCCGCTGCGACAGTACAGGCAGTACCAAATTACCGCAGTTGCAACAGTGAGACTTGCACAAGTACCGAGCACGACACCACGAACACACACACGAACCCTGTACATCAGAATAATCAGAGCGCAATGACGCGGACTCCAAAGGCCCCCTAGAAAAAACCGAGCGCTCTAAGTATCGAGCTCCCAGATTCGCGCGCATCGAGGCCCCAGATTCGCAAGCGGATCACCGCATATTCGGAACCAAACACCCAGTTAACGACTCGCGATCAAATAGTGCCAAGACGCCCTCAAAGGGGATTGGATACTGAGGAGGAGCCGAGGTCCACCATCGGGTGACGAGACTATGGGAGGCGGTGAGGCGCCCACCTGGTTGAGGCTCTCTCTGCAGCCTTGCGCTCCTCAGGAACGTGGCTGAGCGCGGCGCGCAGCACGACGGCGAGGCTTGGCAGATCCATGTCCACCTGCGCCAGCGGCTGCGGCTGCGGGTTGTGACGCAAAGAGGCTGGAGGGCGGAGGCGGAGACCAAGGGGGGCCAACCTAGCTCGGGGAGCAGGACTCAGGCTCGGGCTCCGCCGCCGCCGCGAGGGGACGGGGGTGGAGAGCACTGAGTGGGCCGCGCGGGCGTGGGGGTGCCGGTCTCTCCTTTTTGGCGTCGCGAGGTCTTCGGGAAGGGGGCGTGCGGCAGAGAGGGGCAGGGGATCAAAACGTATTTAACCCTAGGGTTTGGTCAGGGTGCGGCGCGAGGGGGTGGGTTGGTGACCATGGGATGTTACGCTGACAGATCGGGCCCAGCAGTCAGGGGATCCTCTGTGCCTGACTGACCGGCCGCGCTGGCGGCTGCGGCTGCCAGGTGGGGCCACCTGCAGGGGCGAGCGCAGAGCCGCAGACAGCTGGTTACAGCGTCGCCTCTATCATTTCTCTCGTTTTGGAGCGAGCAGTACAATGGTTGGTCCGGTGTTTAATGTTTGTATATGACGTTGATGGCGATAACGATGATGATCTAGACTAAACTTTCCTACGCCTAGGAATTTCACGGAAATTATGTAAAAATTTCACAAAAATCAGCTCATTTTTATTGAAAAAACCCAAAAAACAAGAAAAGAATCTCGCTATCCAAAGGGGCCTTCAATTTGTATTTCTGAACCCAATAATAAAACCATCTGGTACATTATGCTTAGTGTATAAAATGATAATATCCACTCGATGACTTAGCATATAATTTTGCAACAAGGATGTCTATTCTCAACTTGGCAAGCCAAACATTGAGATAAATAATGATTACTTAATATTGCAGATTTCTAAAAATATATATTTTTAACATACAAAAAATTGTGGCATTCAAAGTAGAGTTAATGTGAGTGTGTGTGCATGTGTGGTGTGCCAGTGTAAGGGCATCCAAAGCCTATAAGAACTACTATATGGACCTTAAGATGGGGGCCTATAAACGCTAATGTCATCCCCGTTGTATTTAAGATGGTAAAGTTAAAGCTTTAAGATCAATCTCAATAAAAAAAAACTTTCCATAGCCGTGTGCAGCCGGTAGCAAGGCTTCCCATAACAACAATGACAACATCTCTTCAGTGGTTTGATTTGTTTATTGATCGAGACCTACCCTTTTAAGACTAAAATGGTCTTTAGCCTTTTCTTGTTTAGGACCAACGTCTATATCACGTATGGTTGGCCTTATAAGGCTATGACCCCCTCTCCACCACATGTTGATGCCATAAGCATCTACACTTGTACTATGTCTTTTAAATGGTGTTTAGAGCTACGCCACCCTTTGGATGGCAAGCGAGTATACATGAACATTTCGCATTGATGGTTGAAGCTAGTTTGGCGTTGTCAGGTTTATAAATCCGGGGTCCCTAATGGGCCCGCTTCCCAGCAAAAGCTCGGCCCAGCAGACGACATTACAAACAACGCGCAACTCCTGAGCCGGCCCAGATACCTAACGACAGGCCGGAAGAGAGCTTCTCCGACTAGGAATACACGAACTTCTGCTTACGGCTCTTCTTCGACCAACGCGGTCGGAGCCGATTGGGAACGACCGGCCGAGGACATCTGCTCGGTGAGGACCCAAGAAATCAGACGGAGCAGATAAGGTAAGACGCTCAAGTCAAACCGTAATGCCGAGGACTATACCCGCACACCTGCAAGACAGTACTGTCAGGCCATGTCAGAAGGGTACTTTGCAGCCTGCCAGACATGTCAGAACACAAACAGTGTTGTAGGCGTCGACATTTAGCCTATAGTATGGTAGGCGCCGACATTTGCCATACCAGAAAAACACGATGGAGCCTGCTACATGCATCTGAGAGTCAATAGTATTGTGGGCACCGACAAACTGTCTTATACCCGATGACGTGGGCAACAAGACTAGAAAACACATACTCTCTCTCTTCCCTAACTTGTAAGGTCGTCCCCTTCACCTATAAAAGGGGATGCGCTCTCTCCTAAAAAGACGATCATTCCGACTCTCTCTCTCTCTCTGCTAGCTTTAGACATTCTGAACACTCGAACAGCTTTACGGCTCTAGAACTCTAAAGCTATACAGAGCATACGTTCTAATACTTAGCGCATGTAGGAGCTCCCGTCACTCTCGGCCCTTCAGTCCAGAGTCCGACCAGACCTCTAACACCCCCATCTTATTCGCACTCGTTTATAATCCCACAGCAAACTTCGAGCACCTGGGCTCAGGAATAAATTCATCAACTGACTCAAACTGGACGTAGGGCATGTTGCCTGAACCAGTATAAATCATGTGTCATTGAGTGCTAGGCCACATCCGATCACAACATATGGCAAAACGATAAATATTTACTTGTTGGTCACTTTTCGCACCAATAGTTGGCGGCGTCCGTGGGGAAGACGCCGTGCATTCACGCTTTTGGTCATCGGATGGCCCACCTTTCCGCCATCTTCGACATGGCGGGCTCAAGCAATACGATTCGCTTCGGCTCGCTGGAGTTTCCCATGCTCCCACTTGTTGGGATGTGGGTTTCTCCCGTCTTCGAGCCGTCCTAGACCTTTCTCTTCGGAAGCCTGAACTTCATCGTCGACCAGCTCGGCGTGCTTCGCCTTCGCGAGGAGGCACTCGTCCCGGCACCGATCGGAGGAGGAGCGCCCTCCGTCGGCTCCGAGACACCCGGTGACCTCAACGACGAGACACCTGCGCTTCGCTTCGAGCCTACGCTGGGCTCAACCCCCACTGTGAGTAACGTACATAATGTTCTTTACTCGCTATTTTAATATCTTCCGCCGACTCTCTGGAGGGACCCCGTTGTCCCCACCGTAACCGCCATGCAACTAGTTCCCCTATGGCCTCGTGTCTCCCGTGGACACGTACGCACGGGCTCTCCAAAAGATGCGGACGTCGTCCCCTCTCACATCTGAATTCGTGGGGATGGCGGGCTATGCTCCTGCCTCTTCCCATGACCTCATGGATGACGAGGTTGAAAGCGACGACTCCAGCATCGGCGACATTGTGGCACCTAGCCACACTCTGTCCTAGGAGTGCGTTATGGCGGACGCTCTAGGATAGCCACCGGTGGTAGCGGTGTCTCTATAGACTCACACCCCTCTAGACCCTCATGTGGAGGCCCTCGCGCGCGCGTAGGAGCACAGCGAGGAGTTACGACAAAGGCGGCAAAGCCAGTCGCCACCTGCGCCGGTGCGCTCGGCGCAGCACGCTGCGCCACGCGCGCATAACCCGGTGAGCGGCGCCCGGGGTCACGCCCGCCATGTCCAGCGTAACATCATGGACGGGGGGAACGATTCCCCATAGTTCGCTCGGGCTGGCTAGAACATCACCGCTACGGCGATGCTTCTGTGCGGCCTTCTAGAGCCTGTCGACCCCCAGGAGCAGGCGATCCACCAAAACCTCCGAGCGCTGGTGGAAACCGCCGTCGTTCAATAGGCGGAGAGCTCCACGTCGCGA